ATACTTCCCTATAGAAAAGTGTCTTCTTCAGTTCTAGTTCAGTTCTAGTTCAGTTCTAGTTCAGTTCTAGTTCAGTTCTAGTTCAGTTCTAGTTCAGTTCTAGTTCAGTTCTAGTTCAGTTCTAGTTCAGTTCTAGTTCAGTTCTAGTTCAGTTCTAGTTCAGTTCTAGTTCAGTTCTAGTTCAGTTCTAGTTCAGTTCTAGTTCAGTTCTTTCTAGTTCAGTTCAGTTCTAGTTCAGTTCTAGTTCAGTTCTAGTTCAGTTCTAGTTCAGTTCTAGTTCAGTTCTAGTTCAGTTCTAGTTCAGTTCTAGTTCAGTTCTAGTTCAGTTCTAGTTCAGTTCTAGTTCAGTTCTAGTTCAGTTCTAGTTCAGTTCTAGTTCAGTTCTAGTTCAGTTCTAGTTCAGTTCTAGTTCAGTTCTAGTTCAGTTCTAGTTCAGTTCTAGTTCAGTTCTAGTCAGTTCTAGTTCAGTTTAGTTCAGTTCTAGTTCAGTTCTAGTTCAGTTCTAGTTCAGTTCTAGTTCAGTTCTAGTTCAGTTCTAGTTCAGTTCTAGTTCAGTTCTAGTTCAGTTCTAGTTCAGTTCTAGTTCAGTTCTAGTTCAGTTCAGTCTAGTTCAGTTCTAGTTCAGTTCTAGTTCAGTTCTAGTTCAGTTCTAGTTCAGTTCTAGTTCAGTTCTAGTTCAGTTCTAGTTCAGTTCTAGTTCAGTTCTAGTTCAGTTCTAGTTCAGTTCTAGTTCAGTTCTAGTTCAGTTCTAGTTCAGTTCTAGTTCAGTTCTAGTTCAGTTCTAGTTAGTTCTAGTTCAGTTCTAGTTCAGTTCTAGTTCAGTTCTAGTTCAGTTCTAGTTCAGTTCTAGTTCAGTTCTAGTTCAGTTCTAGTTCAGTTCTAGTTCAGTTCTAGTTCAGTTCTAGTTCAGTTCTAGTTCAGTTCTAGTTCAGTTCTAGTTCAGTTCTAGTTCAGTTCTAGTTCAGTTCTAGTTCAGTTCTAGTTCAGTTCTAGTTCAGTTCTAGTTCAGTTCTAGTTCAGTTCTAGTTCAGTTCTAGTTCAGTTCTAGTTCAGTTCTAGTTCAGTTCTAGTTCAGTTCTAGTTCAGTTCTAGTTCAGTTCTAGTTCAGTTCTAGTTCAGTTCTAGTTCAGTTCTAGTTCAGTTCTAGTTCAGTTCTAGTTCAGTTCTCGTTCAGTTCTAGTTCAGTTTCTAGTTCAGTTCTAGTTCAGTTCTAGTTCAGTTCTAGTTCAGTTCTAGTTCAGTTCTAGTCAGTAGTCAGTCTAGTTCAGTCTAGTTCAGTTCTAGGTTCAGTTCTAGTTCAGTTCTAGTTCAGTCTTAGTTCAGTTCTAGTTCGTTTCTAGTTCAGTTCTAGTTCAGTTCTAGTCAGTTCTAGTTCAGTTCTAGTTCAGTCTAGTTCAGTTCTAGTTCATTTCTAGTTCAGTTCTAGTTCAGTTCTAGTTCAGTTCTAGTTCAGTTCTAGTTCAGTTCTAGTTCAGTTCTAGTCAGTTTATAGTTCAGTCTAGTTCAGTTCTAGTTCAGTTCTAGTTCAGTTCTAGTTTCAGTTTCTAGTTCAGTTCTTAGTTCAGTTCTAGTTCAGTTCTAGTTCAGTTCTAGTTCAGTTCTAGTTCAGTTCTAGTTCAGTTCTAGTTCAGTTCTAGTTCAGTTCTAGTTCAGTTCTAGTTCAGTTCTAGTTCAGTTCTAGTTTGCAGTTCTAGTTCAGTTCTAGTTCAGTTCTAGTTCAGTTAGTTCAGTTCTAGTTCGTTCTAGTTCAGTTCTAGTTCAGTTCTAGTTCAGTTCTAGTTCAGTTCTAGTTCAGTTCTAGTTCAGTTCTAGTTCAGTTCTAGTTCAGTTCTAGTTCAGTTCTAGTTCAGTTCTAGTTCAGTTCTAGTTCAGTTCTAGTTCAGTTCTGTCTAGTTCAGTTCTAGTTCAGTTTAGTTCAGTTCTAGTTCAGTTCTAGTTCAGTTCTAGTTCAGTTCTAGTTCAGTTCTAGTTCAGTTCTAGTTCAGTTCTAGTTCAGTTCTAGTTCAGTTCTAGTTCAGTTCTAGTTCAGTTTCTAGTTCAGTTCTAGTTCAGTTTCTAGGAAGAACTAGTTTTTAGTCATTTGACTATCTATGTTTACCATTATTTAAAATTAAACATTAAGCTTCATTTGTCATAAGTTTGATTTGAAATTTTTTAAAATTAATTAAAAACTTAATTATTTGCTATTAAATTTAAACCAGAGTCAAGCAGCAAAAAATAGCATTAGAACAAAAAAAAATAAATAAACGTCTTCTATTATTATGCAGTTCAAAAATGTTGTATTTCTTTACAAACTGGTTTAAAAAAAAAAACAAATTTTTATATTGTTTTTTTTTTTCAAAAATGCTGGTAATATAAAATGACAAGAATAACGAGAATATTAAACAGAGACGACAAAAGTTCATACAGTAAACAAAACAATACAAAAAGCTATTAAAATATCTGGTATTTTTGGCGACGTCAATATAGTGAGGGTGAAATAAGAAGAAATTGGGTTAAAAATATAATAAAATAATTAATTTGAATATTCATAAAATTTTTTATTTTAATGTTTCTTCAAGAAAATTGTGAAAGTTTTGAAAGTTCAGTAGTAAAGTAATATCATATAATTAAAGCCTGGACTTTAATTATATGATATTAAGGATTATTAAGGATTTTCCTTAACAGCTGCTAATTAATATTAATCATACGCACCCAGGTACGAAAGTGATTAAATTGAATTTAATGCTAGATTTTAATAAACATTTTGTGTGTTTTTTACATATTATAATAATCTTAAAATAAAAGTTTTAATTTAATATAAAATTTAAGAAAAATGTATAGAAACAATTTAAAATTAGAAGATTTTTAAAAACAAGATTGCAAAAATTATTTACAGTTAAATTGTCTTGTGCTATTTTGCAAATTATCTGCAGTGTATTAAAAAAATCAATTAATTAAAAACAAATTATCGAAATCAAGAAAACAACATGTTAAGCCAATATTAACAAGTTTAGAACAGCATTGTTATGGAGTTTGAAGCTTCAAGTTTTTAAAAATGTTTGTTTATTTTGTCAAAATATTTTGCTTTATAAAAAATGTTAAAAAAAATATTTATTTAAAATAGAGGTTCATTATTTTATTATTTTAAAACAAATCAATCAAAATTGGGTAATACCAAAGAGAGGAATGAAAAAAATTGTGTTTTTATAATGAAGTGTTATTTTTAAACAAGAGTTTAAAGAAGACAATTGGCAAAAGGCATGCATAAAGAAGTGTCTATGAAGATACTTTTCTATAGACAAATGTTAAAAGAAGATAATTTTCCATAGAACTGAACTAGAACTGAACTAGAATTCAACTAGAACTGAACTAGAAATGAACTAGAAATGAACTAGAACTGAACTAGAACTGAACTAGAACTGAACTAGAACTGAACTAGAACTGAACTAGAACTGAACTAGAACTGAACTAGAACTGAACTAGAACTGAACTAGAACTGAACTAGAACTGAACTAGAACTGAACTAGAACTGAACTAGAACTGAACTAGAACTGAACTAGAACTGAACTAGAACTGAACTAGAACTGAACTAGAACTGAACTAGAACTGAACTAGAACTGAAATAGAACTGAACTAGAACTGAACTAGAACTGAACTAGGACTGAACTAGAACTGAACTAGAACTGAACTAGAACTGAACTAGAACTGAACTAGAACTGAACTAGAACTGAGCTAGAACTGAACTAGAACTGAACTAGAACTGAACTAGAACTGAACTAGAACTGAACTAGAACTGAACTAGAACTGAACTAGAACTGAGCTAGAACTGAACTAGAACTGAACTAGAACTGAACTAGAACTGAACTAGAACTGAACTAGAACTGAGCTAGAACTGAACTAGAACTGAACTAGAACTGAGCTAGAACTGAACTAGAACTGAACTAGAACTGAACTAGAACTAAACTAGAACTGAACTAGAACTGAACTAGAACTGAACTAGAACTGAACTAGAACTGAACTAGAACTGAGCTAGAACTGAACTAGAACTGAACTAGAACTGAACTAGAACTGAACTAGAACTGAACTAGAACTGAACTAGAACTGAACTAGAACTGGAATTGAACTAGAACTGGAACTGAACTAGAACTGAACTAGAACTGAACTAGAACTGGAACTGAACTAGAACTGAACTAGAACTGAACTAGAACTGAACTAGAACTGAACTAGAACTGAACTAGAACTGAACTAGAACTGAACTGAGTATTCTCAATTTAGTTTCTATTAAAAACGAGAATTTAAAACAGTTTTTATAAAAGATTCCTTCTGTAAGCAGCTTTTAATAGAAAAGTAGTTTCTTAAGACAGTTTCCTATAAACAATATCTTTTAAAGACAGTTCTCTATAGAAAAGTGTCTTCTTAAGCAAATTTTCGACAAAGAGAGATCTTTTTAAACAGTTTTTTAAGAAAGTATATTTGAAGGCAGTTTTCTATAGAAAAGTGTCTTCTTAAGACAGTTTTCTGTAGAAAAGTGTCTTCCCAAGGCAGTTTTCTAAAAAAACGAGTGTTTTTAGAACAGTTTTCATATAACGATTCCCAACAGGTCAGTTTTCTTTAGAAAATATCTTCTGAAAGAAGTTTTTTTTTTTTTAAATGTTTTCTCAAGATAGTTTAGAAAGTAAAGTGATTAATCAGTTTTTAGTTGAAAACTGTAACAGTTTGTATTGATTTCTTTTAAATATTTAAACACATTAATAGGTTGGGTTTTATTAACCAAAATGGGTCAAGGTTAATAAACATGTACAACACATAAACAACAACAACAACTACAACAACCAAAAAACTGGAATAAGGGCTTAAAGTTTAACGTTTTTGAAGGTATTTTGGGGAATTTAAAAAACAAATAATTAGACTTAAAAAAAACTGCTAATAAACTTGGGAATTTTAAAAAGTTTTTAATGATCTTAAGGCGGTTTTTATTAAAAATTTTTATTGATAATTTTTATTCTTTTTTCTTGCAGTTTCACAAACAAATGTCACCCCAACAATTGCAATCGATATTTCATGTCGATACCCCCGATGCCGTGCCACACTATGAAGTTGTTCAACTTTTACATCACAATACACAAGAACCAGCCTCTCAACCACACTACAGCCACAGTAATCATTATCGACGTAGAAGACGCAGTGTTGAAGCACTAATGCAAATGCAAGATCTCAAACAACAGCAACAACAACTACGCGATACACAACATGTCAAAAAGGATTTAAGTAAAAATCCCTATTATAGTGAGCTGAAAGAGAAATCAGCCAAGTCTAGAACAAGTATAAATAGTGTATTGGAGACGACGTCAACGTCATCATCATCATCGTCGGCGGCAAAGTCAGACAAAGAGATTAAAGATATTAAAGAGCATAAAGTATCGTTTAATGCGTTTGGTAAAAATTTGAATTTGACACTGAAACAGACAGAGGGTCTTTTCAAAAATGGCCAAGTGCATCGTTTACCCATGTGGTATGTGGATAATGAAATGAATGCCACACATGGTTTAAATTTACAAAAGATTGAAGATGAGGTAAGTGAAGTTTTAGTAAAAACATTTCAAATTCAAATAAAATTTAAGTTGACAGTAAGTGTCAGTGTTTGTGTGCGCTAAAAAAAACAACAAAAAATCTGTTGGCTATAAAAAAACTATTAAATATTTGTTGCTTTCTTTTGAGGTTATTTAATAGACAAATATTGGGTTTGTATAACAAACTGTCTATCTGTGTGCTTGTCCGTCCCTCCATCCGTCTATCCATGCATTTGTCCGTCCATCCGTCTTTCTCTACATATATTTATCCGTCTATCCATCTGTCCGTCCGTCCATCCATTTATTTTGTTTTTGTAATATTTTTGGCATTTTTTGCTCTATTCGTACTATTATTATAGTTTTATGATAGTTTAATTTTTTATATCTTGTCTTACTACTTTCAATTTTCTCTTACTCTCCTTTGCATCCCATTTATTCAAAATGTGTTTAATATGTTAAACCTCACTTTACATTAAAAACCTCTTTTCACTTCCTTACCCCCCCCCCCCCTTGCTCCTCCTCAAAACCAAACTTAATGAAAGCCAAATGAAAATTTCAAATTATTAAACTATTTGTATTCACTTAGTTTTGAAATACAACAAAAAACCAAACACTTTATTTTAATCAAATAAAACTTCCGCGTAACTTCCTCTCTCTCTCTATTACTCTTCCTCCACTTTTTAAATTTGCAAAAAAAAACGAACTTTTATTATCTTTCACCAATTTAAGTTTTTTTGTTTATTTATTCACTTTAAACATTTCTTTTTGGTTTTAAGCGTAACATTAATTTTATTAAAGTTTGTTTTAGTTTCTTTTAATTGCCTTGCAGTTTAAAGAGATAGAAAAAACAAAAGACTTAAGACACCTACTTTTTTTTGGGAGGGGAAAAAGTTTAAACATTTAGTTTTTGGGTTGTTAAAACATAATTATTTAGGTTATTAATTGCTCTAATAAAAAGGAAGTATTATGCAGGAAAGTTAACAGCCTTAAGGCAGTTTTTTTTTAAGTAAAATCTGTTTTTAAATGAAAGCAGTTTTTTTATTTCTATTACAAAAATAACTTTTCAACATTATTTTTTATGGAAAAACTATCTATTCAAAGCTGTTTTCTATGGAAAAGAGTCTTAATAAGCAGTTTTCTCTACAAAAAGTTTCTTTACAAAGCAGTTTTCTATACAAAATAGTCTTAATAAAGCAGTTCCTTATAGAAAATGTCTTGTTAAAGAAAGACTGCTACACAAAGGAAACTTATCAAGGCAGTTTTCTATACAAAAAGTTTCTTTACATATCAGTTTTCTATTTAAGACTGTTAACAAAGCAGTTTTCTATAAAAAATTGTCTTCTTATCAAAGCAGTTTTCTGTACAAGAGTCTCAATAAAGCAGTTCTCTATATAATAGTCTTAACAAAGCAGTTTTCTATACAAAATGCTTCTTAACAAAGCAGTTTTCTATAGAAAAGTGTCCTAACAAAACAGTTTTCTATATAAGAGTATTAACAAAGCAGTTTTCTATAGAAAAAGTTTCTTAACAAAGCAGTTTTCTATACAAAAGAGTATTAATAATGCAGTTTTCTATAGAAAAGTGTCTTAACAAAACAGTTTTCTATACAAAAGTGTCTTAATAAAGCAGTTTTCTAAAAAAGAGTTATAATAAAGCAGTTTTTTATAGAAAAGTGTCTCATCAAAGCAGTTTTCTATACAAAGTTTCTTAACAAAGCAGTTTTCTACACAAAACAGTTTTCTAAACAAGAGTCTTAACGAAGCAGTTTTCTATAGAAAAGTATCTTAACAAAACAGTTTTCTATACAAAAGTGTCTTAATAAAGCAGTTTTCTAAAAAAGAGTTATAATAAAGCAGTTTTTATAGAAAAGTGTCTCATCAAAGCAGTTTTCTATATAAAAGAGTCTTAATAAAGCAGTTTTCTATAGAAAAGTGCCCTAACAAAACAGTTTTCTATACAAGAGTCTTAGCAGTTTTCTATAGAAAAGTGTCTTAACAACGCAGTTTTCTATACAAAGTATCTTAACAAAGCAGTTTTCTATAGAAAAGTGTCCTAACAAAACAGTTTTCTATATAAGAGTCTTAACAAAGCAGTTTTCTATAGAAAAAGTTTCTTAACAAAGCAGTTTTCTATAGAAGAGTGTCTTAACAAAGCAGTTTTCTATACAAAAAGTTTCTTAACAAAACAGTTTTCTGTACAAGAGTCTTAACAAAGCAGTTTTCTATACAAAAAGTTTCTTAACAAAACAGTTTTCTATACAAGAGTCTTAACAAAACATGTTTCTATACAAGAGTCTTAACAAAGCAGTTTTCTATACAAAAGAGTCTTAATAAAGCAGTTTTCTATAAAAAAAAGTACCTTTTTAAGCAGTTTTCTATACAAAAGACTACTAACAAAACAGTTTTCTACACAAAATTGTCTTTTCGTTGTAGTTTTCTATAGAAAAATGTCTTTTCATAACAGTTTCTTATAGAAGTGTCTTTTCAATGCAGTTTTTTATAGAAAAATTTCTTTTCAAAGCTGTTTTCTATGGAAAAGTGTTTCATCAAAGCAGTTTTATATAGAAATTTTCTATTTTCAAAGCCGTTTTCTATACAAAATTGTTTTCACGAAGCAGTTTTCTATACAAAATTGTCTTTTCGAAGCAGTTTTCTATAGAAAAATGTCTTTTCATAACAGTTTTTTATTGAAGTGTCTTTTCAATGCAGTTTTTTATAGACAAATTTCTTTTCAAAGCAGTTTTCTATGGAAAAGTGTTTTATCAAAGGAGTATTATATAGAAATTTTCTGTTTTTAAAGCAGTTTTTCACACAAAATTGTTTGACGAAGCTGTTTTCTATAGGAAAGTATCTCTCAACTCAGTTTTCACAGCAAAGAATTTCTCAAATCAGTTTTGTAAAAAATAGTGTCTTCTTAAAGCAGTTTTGTATACAAAAATTTTACAAAGCTGTTTTGTATACAAAACTCTTTTCTCAAAACAGTTTTCTATAGAAAAGTGTTACTAAAAACAACCTCTTCTACAAAAGTGTCTTCTTCAAACAGTTTTCTAGTGTCTTCTTAGAGCAGTTTTCAATAAAACAAGTGTTTGCTAAAGCAGTTTTTCTAACAGAAGTAATAACTTAATATTTTTCTATAGAAAAAATCTTCTCTACTGCAACTATTTTCTTTGAAACTGTTTCTTTTTTAAGCAGTTTTCTATAGAAATTGTCTACTTAAGGCAGTTTTCTATAAATTAATGTCTTATTAAGGTAGTTTTCTATATAAACAAACTTCTGAAGGCAGTTTTCTATAGATAAGTGTTTTTGTTAAGGCAGTTTTCTATAGATAAGTGTTTTGTTAAGGCAGTTTCTTACGAAAAGTGTAATATTAAAGCAGTTTCTTATAGAAATGGTTTACTTAAGACAGTTTTTTAGACGTTATCTTCTTAAGACAGCTTTTAATGGAAAAGTGTCTTGTTGGGTCAGTTTTCTATGGAATAGTGTTTTGTTAAGGCTGTTTTCTACAGTGTTAAAGCAGTTTTTTGTAGAACTGCTCTATATGAAGCAATTTTTTATAGAAATTATTTGTATAAGGCAGTTTTTTTTATAGAAATGTATTTTGTTAGTATAGCTTTCCCGAGGGAAGTGTCTTGTTAAGACAGTTTTCTTTAGAAATTGTCTTTTAAGACAGTTTTCTTTAGATTAGTGTTTTACTAAGGCAGTTTTCTATAGAAATAGTCTTCTAAAGACAGTTTTCTATACAAACGAGTGTTTTAAGGCAGTCTTCTACATCAATAGTCTTATTAAGGCAGTTTTCTATAGAAAAGTGTCTTGTTAAGGCAGTTTTTCAAAGAAATAGTATTCTTAAAGCAGTTTTCTATGGATAAGTGTATTTTCGTAGCAGTTTTTTTATACAAAACTGTCATTACAAAGCAGTTTTTAAAGAAAAATATTTCTCAAACAAGTTTTTATGGAAAGCTGTAACGCAAAACAATTTTCTATAAAATGTATCTTTCCATAACAGTTTTTTTTTAAAGAAAAGTCTTTGTCAGAGCAGTTTTCTGTCAGAAATTGTTTTTCTTTAACCAATTTTCCATATAAAAGTGTCCTTTTTTTAAGGCAGTTATCTTTTTAAGAATGTTTCCTGAAAAGTGTTTTGTTTTCAATAGAAATTGTCTTCTCAGTGCAGTTTTGTATAGAAATGTGTCTTGTTCGGTCAGTTTTCTATAATAAGTGTCTTGTTAAAGAAGTTTTCTATGGGAAAGTGTTTTCCAAGGACAGTTTTCTATAAAAATGTGTCTTTTTAAGGCAGTTTTCTGTAGAAAAAGTGTCGTCTTCTGACAGTTTTCTATAGAATGTTTCTTTTAAGGATGTTTTCTACAGAAAAGTGACTTATTAAGGCAGTTTTCTACAGAAAAGTGACTTATTAAGGCAGTTTTCTACAGATATGTTTCTTATGAAGGCAGCTTTCTATTGAAAACAATCTTGTTTCTCTAAAGTGTCTTGTAAAGAAAATTTACAGAAAAGTGTTTTGTTAAAGCAGTTTTTTATACACAAGTTTCTATAAGTTCTTATTAGAAAAGTGTTTTGTTAAGGCAGTTTTCTGTAGAAAAAGTGTCTTCTTCTGACAGTTTTCTATAGAAATGTGTTTTGCTAAAGCAGTTTTCTATAGAATGTTTCTTTTAAGACAGTTTTCAATAGAAAACTGACTGAATAAGGCAGTTTTCTACAGAAAAGTGACTTATTAAGGCAGTTTTCTATAGATTAGTTTCTTATGAAGGCAGCTTTCTATTGAAAACCATCTTGTTTCTCTAAAAAGTGTCTTGTAAAGAAAATATGAAAGAAAATTTACAGAAAAGTGTTTTGTTAAAGCAGTTTTTTATACATAAGTTTCTATCGGTTTTGATTAGGAAAGTGTCTTTTTAAAGCAGTTTTTTTATAGAAAATGAATTTCTATAGAAAGTATCTTTAGAAAGCAAATATTCTGTAGAAAATTTTCTTCTGGAGATAGTTTTTTATAAAAAC